CAATATACTGCTACGGTCAGTAATCAGAGCTGGGTACTGTTCCAGCAGAATGTCCAAAACTTTTAGAGAGTCCTCCTGAATTCCTTCAGTAATATGAGTCATGGCACTAGAGAGATGGGCACTTACCAAGGGAAAAAATGGAGAAATTTGTTCAGCTCGTATTTTGGGGGCCAGGAATTGAAGAAGTTGAACTGCTGCTAATCGTACATTAGCATCTTTATCTGTAAACACAGCAGTCACTTCACTTAATATGTTTGAAAGGTGTGCATCAATTATATATGGGTATTGAGACAAAAGGTCTTTAAGTCCAAGAAGAGCACTTTGTTTAACCCCAGCATTGTAGTGATGCATCTGTGACAGCAAATCCTATAAATTAAAAATACAGGTTTTAGGTATATAAATATACACACACATTACATCATTTTCAAATGAACAGTGCTAACTGAAACTATGCTAATAAACTGACACTTCAGTGGGTGTCCAGGGCTGCTTCAGAAGGTATTTTTCAAGTGTCACTTTGAGAAAAACGTAGCTTTTGTTAAGATCAGAAACAGTTTTAGCTTTAACATAGCTTTGGCTTCATAAAAGCATTATATAACTTTCAGTCAGTATTTTCTCGTTTTGAAATTACACAGGATTAGGCACACTGTCGTTTAAACTGACAGCAATCATCATCACCACTTAAAGACCTACTATGTACCATATACATATTTACACCATCTTCTGCCTATTTTAAGTGGTCTTTCAGGGTGTCTGTGTATTTTATTGAGTGTAACATATGGCAATTTTATTTGTAGAATAATTTATATAATCTGTAAAGAAACCACATCTTCAAATATCTTTTTGATATTATTTAACCTACAGAGACTAGAAAGCAAACTAGAAAACGTGTATCTTCACAAAGATTTGTTCACAAATGTTTCTAACAGCACTATTCACAAGAGTCACAAGGTGGGAGTAAGCAAATGCCCACCAACTGTTGAGTAAAAAATATGACCTAGCCCTGCACTGGAATACAATCTGACAGTAGAGAGGTATGAAGTATTGCTCTGATATGAGCTGTAACACGGATGAACCTCAAAAACATGCTAAGTGAAAGACCAGTAACAACGGACCACATTTCATATGACTCCATTTATATGAAGAGTCTAGAACATGCAAATCTTTACTGATAGCTTAGTGGCTGTCTAGTGGGGGGAAGAAACGGGGAGCAACTTCTAATAGGTATAAGGTTTCTTCCTAAAGTGACAAAAATGTTTTAAAACGAGATCACTGTGATAGCAGCCTAACACTGTAAATATATTGAAACCACCGAACTGCCCACTTTAAGTAATGAATTCTATTATCTGCAAATTACACTCCAATAAAGCTGTTACATTTTTAAGCAAAACTACTGCTCAAATTTCAATTAATTTCACCCATTTACTATGAATCTGGAATAGCTATGCATTGTAAAGGTTCAAAAATGAGTAAGACAGGGTCCTATCTTAATGAGCTACAAAAACAGCTGAGGATCTGTCACATCAAAAACTTGACACATCAAAAATATATAAAAATTACTTCCAGATGACATATTAAATTATCAAATGAATATACAAGGGAGAAATCACTTTGACTTTAGCTGAGCAAGTCTTTCTGGAGGGGGAAACCTGGAGCAGCAGCATCACCTCTGAAAAACAGATAAACTCCAATCTTCAGTCATTAATAAACCCTAAGAGTTAAAACAACTTTCCATAAAAGTGCACCATTCTAGATGACTTCAAGGAAAATCCTATCATCAAAAAAATGTTCATGATTTACCTTTATGTTAAGTTTTCTATTGTTTGTTGGAAGTGTTACATCCTCTTTGAGCTGCTCAGGAAGATGTATAGTCTTCGTTTTAAAGTTTGTAAGGGTAGCATTTTCTGACCTGGGCTTCTTCTTACCAACTTTTAGTTTTACTTTCTGAAAATCATCTTGGCGCTTTCTTTTTTTGGTCATTCTTGAGTACTATGATGAAAGAATTAATTTAAAAACAATGAATACAGACCAAAGATAAATTATAAAAGAATAAAGAAGGTATTTTCTAACCTTTACTGTAACATTGTCAAGACCAACAATAACCATGCCAATGCATCAAGATATGAAATGGAAAATACCTTTATGAAGTAAAAAACAAAAAACTCAGTTTACTCAAGATATTTTTGGCTATGGAATCTTTTGTCAAGCAATGTTCTAAACAGGAATCTTGGGTAGAGCAATGTGCTAAGTAGAAAACTTGTGTATACGTCAATTAATATATTTATAGTTCAATAAAAAAGGAAAAGAAACTTCTGAAAATTTCTTGTTTTCATAGGACAAGAGGGAGGTAGCACAGAGTTGCTACAGGTATACCTTGCACCTATTGGGAAGCTCCTGGCCCCCAGAAACCCCCAAGAAACTCTAGCAAAACAAACACTAAACCAACATTATTATTGAATGCAGCCTGTAATAGCTAGGAAAAATTTCATGAACCTAAACTGGGTGCCTTGAAAATGGGGACGATTCAGATTCGCAGCAAGGACAGTCACCGGGCATTTCCTAAGCAAGGAAAACAGAAAAGATGAAGAACGGGGATAAGGCTGGTATAGGCAAAAATGAAAGTACTAGCATTCTGAACACCAGGAAAAGTTCAGACTACATATAAACAGGAAAAAAAAAAGGAGGGAAAAAAGCCACAGAAAAGGCAATACAGTGGAACAGAGGGCTAAGGAACAAAGACTGGCTAGGCCGCCATGATAATAAATCGCTCAGGGGGAACCCCGTGGTCCTGCACTTCTCTTTCTACATCCCATTCTTTCAATCCACACACAGATTATCCCCCTTACACACAAAACCTCTGATCTGCGCCTTCTACCCACTCCCAGGCCCCTGCTTAAATTCTTGATTTCAACCCAAGACTGTTCAACTTTCCCCACCAGGATCCCTGCCTTGTGACTAGGGTCCACCTTATGGTCCATTTGGTGATCATCAGAGGGCTCTTTCTAAGCACAGATCTGATCAAGGCTCACAAGCTTTCAGCTGCGCCTCTTACTTGCTTACAGTAAAAACACCTGGGTCTGACAGATCAGTGATCCTTCCTAACTTCCTCGACAGCTTTATCTTCCCATCAACTAACCTCTATCTAAAAAAATAGCCTTCTATACCTGGAACTAGCTCAGCCCTTCATGAAGCCTTTTCCACACAGAAAATGAACCCTACCTTGCACTGTATACCCATCAGAGTAGGCGTCTCTGGAATAAATAAAACTTCCCCTGATCCGTCATAACTATCCTATGCCTAGCTGCTTTTTTTAAGTCACAATGCTACACGCGGGAGTTCAAGAAATTTGAGCAAAATGAAGGTTTGCATTATTTTAAGATTAATAAAATGGCTGGTGCAAGACCAGAAACTTGGAAGTTTCAGGAATCCAGAAGTCAATCACCTATGACATTGCATTCAAATTCACATGGTTACAAGGTTTTAACACTTAGAGCCCTGTCACCTAGGGTTTGGCTACATAGGTTAACAGCAGATACAAGAGAGCAACTAGTTCTCATCTAGACTCCTGCACTTTATAGCTGAAGTTAAATCACCGTGTCTCAGTTTTTATCTACAAAACGGGGCTAATAATGATGCTTACCTCATACAGTTGTTACTAGGTAAGATGAATGAGGAGCAAATGAGCTCATGTGTAAAATACTCAGAACTGTGCCTGGCACGGTAAACAAGTATGCTATAAGCACAAACATGTATATTTTCTTAGTCTCATGACCAGTACATACCAAACATAATAGTAGATGTACAAAAGCATTCAGTTCTCACAAGACCATGCAAGGAAGGTGATGCTAACACCATTTTAAAGATGTGTCAGTCCTTTACTAAGGACATGAAGAGGGATTCTTAAATAAGACTGAACTCCTCAAAACCAGCTTTATGTTATATATACTGCAATCCTGGTGAGAACTGGGGGAAAAGTGGCAAAACTGCTTGCCTTATTTCATTTATCCCAATACCAAATTTTCAGCCCACCCACACCTCTAGCTATTCTGGTCTAAAATAAGCAAAACTATAAAGGCCCTAATAATCAACTGGCCTCTCTGAATTAAGCAAGCACAGTTTGTGAGCTTTTGCTACAATTACCATCTAGTACCAGAGATGAAAACAAGTAGAACGAGATATTCAGAAAAATCGAATCAATTAACCCTCCACTCCCTAATTCTCTGTGCTATCTTTAGCCACTAACTAGCTGATCAGGGTCCAACACACAGTCAAGCTTGTACAAGCATTACCCACCATTTAGTATTAATCACTGTTCTCCCTCAGTTAGGAAAGCTAACAGGACTGACCGCCCCCCCCCCCTTGACTTTTCAAGCTATTAAGATTATTATGGTGGTACACAGGGAACATTTTTATGTTAGGAACTCAAAGTTCTACAGCAACTGTTATTTTCGCTTAAAATCAAGATTTTCATAATACAGCAAACCAAACGGCTTCCCTGGTAGCTCACAGAGTAAATCTGCCCTGCAATGCAGGAGACCAGGTTCGACCCCTGGGTCAGGAAGATCCCTGGAGAAGGAAATGGCCACCCACTCCAGTATTCTTGTCTGGAAAATCCCTTGGACAGCGTACGCTGGAGTCCATGGGGTCACAGAGTCGGATAGGACTCAGAAACTAGGACAAGCCACTTTTACAGTAGCTGATATCGAATGGATGGTAGGAACACCAGCTTCAGGGACAGAGCTCTCACATCACTTCAAACAGATGAGCCTCAAAAGTTTTCAAGCTGAATTTCATAGGCGGGATCCCAACTACAGGCTTTCTAATTTCAACAAAAGGGACAGTCTAGTCTATCATGATTTCGACCGAACCGAATTTCAACCAGTTTGTCTGCCACCTCATTACCCTCCCCTAATTTCCAACTTCTTTCCACCCTCCAAGAAAAAAAAAAGTCAAGAAGTCACATTGTACTCGGCCTTTGGTAATATCCTCTCCAACCCTTTATGCTCTCGAGTTCCTCCAAACTCTACCTAGGGGCCAATCGGAGACACCTGACTTTCCAAAGATCAGACACCCCAGCCCAGGACCACTCGAGACGGCCGACGGTCCGAACCTGCTCGGCTGGTCACTCCACACCTGGACTGCGAGGGGAGATTACGAGACGACTGGGCATCCTGAACCCCAGACTTTGGTCCCGCATCCCAGAAGTGAAGACCCCGTGGTTCTCAAAAAACTATCGTTCCGTCTCCCACCCGGGACGGCGGTCCGGACCACAGTTCAGGAAGCCGGGCCCAATCAACGCACACCGGCCTAAAAGTCTCCCAGAGGCGAAACCGCGCGAACCCGCCCAATCACTTGAAACGCTTCAAATGCCCGCGGGCGCCCCGCCCCCGCGCAGCCCCTCTCCGCACGCAGGCCCCGCTCTGCCAGAGCGCCACGACCCGGGCCCCGGGGGGCGCAGACTGGCCCCGGCCCGCTCCGACCGCCTGGGCCGCGGACCGAGGGGCAACGGCTCCGCGCGCCGTCCCGCGCCCCGGGAGGGCCCGGCCGACCGCGGCGGCCGCTTACCTGCGGCCCGGCTGGGACCCGGGCGCGGAGGCAGAGGGGAAGAACGTGCGCGGAAGAGCCCAGAGGGCAACGGCGTGCGCCACCGGCCTCAGCCTCTCGCTCCCGGAGCGTGTTTTCAAATCGCCTCAGCCTCACGCGGCCGCGTCTCCTTCCGCCGCCCGGAAATCAGGGCCCCTCCTCCGCCGCGCCGCGCTCACGTGACCGCGGCCCGCCGCCGCGCGCAGCCGGGGAGGCGGGAGCGGGAGCGGGAGCGGCAGGCCCCGCCCCCAGGAGGCGGGGGCGCCCGCCGGAAGCTTCCCGCGCTCCGGGAATCCGAGATCGTGGAGCGCGGGGTCCAAGGACAAAGCTTGGCCCTGCGTGCGTGCCGTTTAGGGGTGTCGCCCTGGTCACAGCTGGTTGAGGGCTGGCGTCTTCTCTCCCTGGTAGAGCACTGTTTTTCAGACCTGGAGCCACATTCAAATAAGAGTATAAGTTGAACTGAACTGAGACAGAGGAAAAGTTTGGGACTGCCAGAACCCTAGAATCCCTGGAAACTTTAACCTGGATGGAGCAGTTAAGAATTAGTTGGCAACAGGGCAAAACACACCTAGCAACTGGAGTCCGAGAGTCTTAGTTGAGGATTTTCTCTAATATTTAGTTTCTCAGCACAAGATAGGGTTCCTGCGACTGAAATCAACTGGGCCCAGAGAATTTGAGAGAAATTTGAATGACTAGAAAGGAAGTGGGAAAGCAAAGACAAGGCGTCTTTGAAAGATAGGCTTGCCAAAGATTTGCAGGAGGCATGGAGCCCCAGATACGGATTTTAGGACTTGGTTTACATTTGTTTCTACATTTTGCCAGGTTATAAGACTTAGTAAAGCGGGTGAGGAGTGAGCCTCAGTTTGCGGGATAGGGGCTAAGAGCAGTGATGTCTGGGAGCTCAGTGGAAGAATCTGGTCCATGCCTGTCTCCAAGCTTAAGCTTTACGTGTTTCTTCGCTTGTCGATGGCGTTCTCTCTGTCCTCACATTGTCTTCCTTTCCTGTGTGTCTGTGTCCAAATACCCTGTTTATAAGGACACATGTCATTTACGGCGTACCCTAATGACCTTATTTTAACTTGATTACCTCTGTGAAGACTCTTATTTCCAAACGAAGTCACCTGAGGTAGTAGAGGTTAAGACTTTTACATGTCTTTTCAGAGGGATACGATTCAACCTTTAACAGTCAGCAAAATCTGTTTCCAGAAATGGCTTATATTTCTGAACATCTTTGCTTTCTTTGTCTATGCTCAGAAGCATCACAAAATTCTAACCTATTACCACAGCATCTACCTAAACTTTGCATCTTCTCTGTTCTGTATACTGGGCTTCCAGTTAATATTTGCTTTGGAAATAGTGTACCACTGCTTTAAAAAAAAAAAGGAAGTTCTATTAATCTAATAAACTTGATTTTATAATGTGTAATTGCTCAGTTGTGTCCAGCTAATTGCGACCCCATGGACTGTAGCCTGCCAGGCTACTCTGTCCACAGAATTCTCCAGGCATGAATACTGGAATGGGTAAGTGATTCCCTTCTCCAGGGGATCTTCCCAACCCAGGGATTGTACCCGGTCTCTTGCATTGCAGGCAGATTCTTAGGGAAGCTTTTATAATGTTAAGACAAGTAATAAAAGCATAAACATATTAACCTGGCTCTTACATTTCAGGTCTACTACTAACACAAAACCACAGATTCTCTGAAGAAATGTGAAAAGGACGAGTTCAGATTTGCTACAATGACCAGGGACTAGAAAGGTGCATTCTCTAGGAATTAATCAATACATCATATGCAAATGACTTGGTACCCTGCCTGGCATACACCTGCCTGGCATACAGCAAGCCTTCAATACCTGGCAACAGACATTCCTGTTGATGATGTGTCATTGGACAGTGTTTGTGCAAAATGAAAACTTTTAGTCAAGTTTCTTAGATAAAGGAACCAGTTCTGACTTTAAATTAAAAGGAATTTATTCAGAGAATATTGACTAGCACAGAAAGATGAGACAGGCTGCCGATCCAGGCTTGGATAAAAGGAAGGAGGGAAAATACCCAGGAGCCAGGAATACAGCCACCATTAAGCTCCAAAATCTGCCCGAGACACAAGAATTGAAAATGAAGAAGTAAAATTATCTACATTTCTAGATATAATTGTATGCCTAAAAAATATCAACTGAAAGGCTGCTAAAAACAATACGAGAATTAAAAAAGGGTGAGGCATATAAAATTAACACAGAAATCAATAGACTTCACATACACTAATAATAACCAATTAGATAACAGGATAGAAAAGGAGGCACCTTTTGCAATAGCAATCAAAACCTATAAAATTCCTAGAACTGAATAAAAACTTTGATTAGAATATTTAACTTCATAAATATACTGATTGTCCTTAAATTAATTGGTAAATTGAATAAGATCTCAATAAATATGTCATCAGGGTTTTTTTCTAGACCTACACAAACTGATTAAAATTTGTATACAAAAAATTAAACAAGGATAGCCAACAAATTTTTTTAAAAGGAAAGCAATGAGGAGGACCAACTTTATTGGATATGGAAATATAAAACCTCAGTGATTCAAACATAGTTTTGGCATATGAATAGACAAACCAGTGGGGCAAAATACAAAATCTAGAAATAGAACCAAATAAACATGAGAATTTATAAATTAAAAAAATTTGTATGTACATTATAAAGATAACACCTCATATCAATGGTATAAAGATAATCGGTTTGCACAATAGGGAGCCAGCCACTTAATAAAACATAGAGTTGGGCTCATATTTCATGTATTACATTCAAAGATGTAAATTTAAAAAACAAATCCATGAAAGTCCCAGCAAACAAAACGAGTGTATCATTTTACAACTTTGGATTTCTTCTAGAACTTAAAACTTTAATACCAGGGGAAAGCTTTTAAAATTTGATTACAGGCTTTTCCAAAACCTTTAGAAATCTTCTAAAAAGATTGACAAAAAAAAAAAAAAAACCGAAAAAGAGAGAAAGAAATCAAAAGAGAAGACAAATTCTGAAAAAAAATTGCAACTCATATCACAGGTAAATGATTAATTTTCCTAATATACAAAGAATTCCTGGAAAGGGGGGAAAAATCAAGTACTTGATATAAAAATATTTATTTTCAGCCAGTTTACAGAAAAAGAAATAAATATCATCGTTACATAAAAGATACTTAGCCTAATTCACAAAAAGAGAAATATAAGTTAAAAGTAAGATTTTTCTCCCCCTCGCTTTTAAACTTAAAATTTTAATTTTTAAAATTAATTTAAAAAAACTTTTGTCTGTGCTGGGTCTTCATTGCCAGGCGGGCTTTTCTTTAGTTGCGGTAAGCAGAGGTTACTCTCTAGTTGCAGTGTGTGGGCTTCTCATTGCAGTGGCTTCTCTTGCTGGCTTAAAACTCAACATTCAAAAAACTAAGATCATGGTATCCGGCCCCATCACTTCCTGGCAAATAGATGGGAAAACAATGGAAACAGTGACAGACTTTCTTTTCTTTGGTTCCAAAATCACTGCAGATGGTGACTGCAGCCATGAAATTAAACGATTCTTACTCCATGGAAGAAAAGCTATGACCAACCTAGAAAGCATATTAAAAAGCAGAGACATTACTTTGTCAACAAAGGTCTGTCTAGTCAAAGCTATGGTTTTTCCAGTGGTCATGTATGGATGTGTGAGTTGGACCATAAAGAAAGCTGAGCGTTGAAGAATTGACGCTTTTGAGCTGTGGTGTTGGAGAAGACTCTTGAGAGTTCCTTGGACTGCAAGGAGATCAAACCAGTCAATGCTAAAGGAAATCAGTCCTGAATATTCATTGGAAGGACTGATGCTAAAGCTGAAGCTCCACCTAATTCGAAGAACTGATTCATTTGAAAAGACCCTAATGCTGGAAAAGATTGAAGGCAGGAGGAGAAGGGGACGACAGAGGATGAGATAGTTGGATGGCATCACCGACTCGATGGACATGAGTTTGGGCAAACTCCAGGAGTTGGTGATGGACAGGGAAGTCTGGCGTGCTGCAGTCCATGGGGTCACAGAGTCGGCACGTGACTAAGCAACTGAACTTACTTAGAACTTAGTCTCTTGTTGCAGCACACAGGCTCTAGGCCATGTGGGCTTCAGTAGCTATAGCACATGGGCTCAGTAGTTGTGGCTCCCCAGCTCTGAGCCCAGGCTCAATGGTTGTGGTGCACAGACTTAATTGCTTTGTGGCATGTGGGATCTTCCCAGATCTGGGACTGAACACATGTCTCCCGCACTGGCAGCTGGATTCTTTACCACTGAGCCACTGGGGAAGTCCCCAAATCCAAATTTTGACACCACATCTGTTGTTGACCCTGTAGAGAAGCAGCACTCTCATATGTTGTCGGTGGAAACATAAATTGGCATAAACTCTACAGAAGATGTATTTGTGAGAATTAAGTTTCATAGAAGTAACAGCAAAACATAAGATGACAATTTACTTTTTCACATTAAAGTATAATTGCTAATTCCTGGCATTAAATTCAAGATGTAGGCAGTCCAGTCTTCAGGTGGCTTTTTACCAGCAATCCCTCAAACACTCAGGCCACTTGTCTTGTTTCATCAGACTCAAGGTTACCTCATGGTTCAGGATGGCTGTTTTAGCTCCAGCCATCACACTCACATTTCAGTCAGCAAGTTAAGGTAAAGGAACAAGAAGGACATGGTCCCAAAGGACACTTCTTGGAAGTTGCACATAGTATTTCTGATGACATCTCTTTGGCTAGAATTCAGATTGCCATTAGCTGTATAGGAGCTGAGAAATGTGAAGGATATTCTGTGAGTAGTAAAATCCTCCACCTCACACATGGTTTTGTGATAGAATTTTTATTTCAATTTTATATAAACCTGTTTATATATATTCATTGACAAAATAAAATACATTCCTATAGTGGTTCTCAACTTTTTAAAACTCAAAAAACAGAGGCAACAATAGTGCAGAAAGAAAAAACACATGATATTTTTTCTGATCTCTAGGTGGAAAGGACTTCTCAAAGCATAAAAGCAAAGGAAAAATGTGACCAAAAAAAAAAAAAAACCATTGATAAGTTTGATGTAAAAATTGTTAAGGTCTATATATCAAAAATACTTCAAGCAAAATCAGTAGAAAAAGATGGGTTAGATAATGATCGCGTTAGGACAACTGATGAGCTTTTTAAGGGGTGGAGGGAAGTTGGATTGGCCTCTGGAAATTCCTAACAACAAAAGCATGCCATAACATGCAAAAAATCCAAAAGAAAAGATTTAAAAATTCAACAGCCTCATTCAGGGTCCAATCAGGGAACAAAAATCATGTTAGTTATTTGAAGAGAGAGAATTTAATATAAAGAACTGTTAACCAAGGACTAAAGACATTAAAAGGCAGAAAGAGAATCTGAGATACCCTAGGAGAATAACCGCAGGAAACAGTTACCACGCCAAGG